AATTTTAAAAAAACTTTAAAATGACAACTACAGGTTTAGAAACAAGACTGCTTTTCATACTGCATTGGACGATAAGATTATATTCTTCGAATTCTCAAATAACAGATTTCTCGAATAAAAGAAAATCTCCGGATATCTAAAGGTAGTACCCATGCTCGGAACCCTTCCTGAGTTCTCGACGGATTCTGGAAGAATAACTTAAAAAATGATTTGAGGCTTAAATTTCTTGGCTCAAAAATCACTCCTGACCGAGAAAATCTCCCCAGAAAATTCGGCCACCATCTCGAGGACGAGTTTTCTACATCCCCGGGCGCTTCTTATTGAAGTCGTCTACCGCCTTGAGCGGGAGGACACGGAAGAGATTTTCAATTCTACACATCTCCAGGGGTTGCAGCGCCCTAAATAGCGTGGAAAGCTAGGTGGGCATCTCGTCCACGAAATCGCGGACGAGTTTTCTGGAGCGGTTTTCTTGGTCAAGAATGACTTCTGAGCCGAAAAATTTGAATCTCAACCCAATTTTTGAGTTCCTCTTTCAGAATAAGTTGGGGACTCAGAAAGCGTTCCGAGCGTGGGAGCTGCGTTTAAACATTTGAGACTTTTTAATTAGACTTTTCAAAAGTCCGAGTTCTTTAGTTTCGAAATATCCGAGCGTTCGAAGAAAAAAATTCGAAAGTAGTTTTTCTTTTCCAGTTGCAACTCTACCACCATAAGAAATAGATTCCTACGTTGAATTCGGCTCTTCGAGATGAAATTCTCAAAAAATCACCGCGCAAAAAATAAAATATAGTGTAGTTGACAAGTCGGTGCACTTTGCCCGTGGTGTGTAACTGCAGAAAGAGGTTCTAGCTCAGCCCAAAACCGTCGTCCAGCACCTAGACTTTGCAAGCTATACGAAATGCGTAGGGAGATACTCCATGTATGTGCAGGTCTACATAAACATGCTCTGCTTTCGAGATATGCTCCTGAGTCCGCAACTGCACGCGTCCAGCGACTCTTCAACTCGAGTATAACTCGTCGCGCCCACAGCTCTATCACTCGAAGTCTTTGTTAGCTTTGAAAGCGAGAAAAGAAATAAGAAAATTGCTTCAAAAATAACCTAAAAATTTGCATAGAAAGATATAGAAACAATTTCTTGAAAAACATAGTACAGCATGAAAATTCTGAAGTAGACAGCTTATTAAAAAAAGCACCTTCAACGAAGAAGGCTCAGAAATAAGAATTACTGCATGAGTAACTTGTAGGCGCATAATGCAGTCCTGTACTGCTCTGAACTATGCATTCTCCCATACGGGATTAAGTTGAAAGGTATTTTTGGTGAGGTTTACCTGTTGAACCTCATCCTACGCTGGTAAGCAGCATCGTTGAATTTATTCGCATCTGAGAGACGTTTATCTACCTCTAATAGCTGAGGTTTCCTAAACCTATGATTTTTTGTGATGAATTTATAAGAAATAGAAAATTAAGAGTGTCAGAGAAATAAAAGCTTCAAAATGCAGACAGATCAATGCAATAAAAATGAGATATAGTTCAAATTTTTACAACTTTGAATACATATATGAATAAAACTCTCTGCTTGGACTTAAATTCACCCAGAGAGTCTAAATTAATTAAGCAAATTTTAGTTAGTCCGCGGGTGGGATAATTACGATGCGAAAAATGTGACTTTCAGACCAGGCACCTCAAATAACCCCCAAATAATCCCTCTTTGCGAAAGCGAAATTCGAGATTTTCGGTTCTCCAGCACCTACAGAGTGCCTAAAATCCTCTTTATGCACCTAGGTTTCGAAGAATAACCTAGAAAATTCTGGTAATTTCTTCCAAAATTCCAAAAAATCC